ACTAGAGTTCTGTGATTTAAGGCGCATTTTATGAGCAGAAACCTGCAGAAATGTCATGAGAGTAAAGAGCGTATAACTCGTCTAAAGGCAAGGATGCAATTGGCAGTATCTACAATTACTTATAGGGCAGTAATACAACAAACTTTAGGCAATTCATCCTGTCAAGCCTCTTCTATTATTTTATTAGATCAGCACTCATATTTTAACCTCATTTCCTATCTTTTCCTTGTATTTCTTTAGGAATATAGGAACAGGAGACCATTTAGCACATCAAGATAACTCCACAACTTTAATCGTCTTATTCCATACAATTTTAAAAATCCTTACTTTGTATGTGTGTGTGTGTGCATCTGAAATGCTGTACACTGTCCAGCACCTTGGGACATCCTCCCGACATGAAAGGCGCTATACAAATGTAATGTTGCTGTTGTTGTTGCACGTATGTGTATGTGCGCATTTGTGTAGTGATTCTAATGATTACTACATTAAACAGTTACTACATGGTGTGTGCAGTGATTAATACTCTAATTGATTCTGCACTGATTCCACAATCTACAACAAATTCTACCTCAGTGTGCTACACACAATAGAGTGGTGTGGACCTATTGGGAACTATTTAAGAGGTATAGCTTTTTTTTAAGTTTAAATGTCCACTCAGCACCTGCACCAGTTATAATACGTACATCTGGGATAGTGGGATTATTCCCACAGCAAAGCATCCACCTCTCGTTAGAGATGTTCTCACACACCTCTGAAACTACAGTAACACAACAGACCTTGTAGTAGATGAATGTATCAAATTACATTAAATCTGCACGAACTGGAGTATTATTAGCACATTGAAAGAAAAATAACTTGCATTTATATAGCATCCTGCAGGATAACAAGGCGCAATGATTCACAGTGCAGACACCCAGCTGCCCAAACAAAAAGACCACAAAGCTAACTCCCTGAAACTGTACAGTAGATATTTACATTTATATATCGACTTTCATTTTGGGAGGACGTCCCAAGGCAGTGGAGAGTCCAGGGTCTCCAACCAAGCTGGGGTGGGGAGAAGGATGGCAGAAAGCATGTCAAAGAGAGAGGTTGAAGGAGGGAAGGGGCAAGTTGAAAGGACTCCAAGATAAGAGTTCCAGAGGGTGGGGACAGATAGGCTGAAAGTCCGACCGCTGATGGTGAGGCAGAGAATACGAAGCAGGCCTGTGCCTGATGAATTGAGGGAGCAACCGAGTTGGAAGGGTTTGAGGAGGCCACAGCGGTAGAGTGAGATAGAGCATTAAAGGATTTAAGGAATAGGATGAGTATCATGGAAGCTTGGAAGATAAAAAAAATTCAGGTCAGCAAAAGCATAATCATAAAGCTATTATTCCACAATATCAATAATAATTTATTGTGTGATTGCTCCCAACGTCGTACAGCATTTTAACAACTTTTTTTGTACAGTTGCAAGATAGGTTCTTGCCAATCCATTTGTTCCATCTTCTGATATTACTTGTTAGCAAAATATTTTCACAGAATCAATTTAGGTTAAAGCCTATTAACTGCAGAGAAGACAGCTGAGCATCTGTTCAAAGGCAATTGATGGATCTGGCTCTGATTTTGTGTAGTTCCAAATTGTTTACTAAACAAATTACCACACCTTTGGTTCACCTAGTTAATCAATCACTGACTCTCAAGGAGTCTCTGGGATAATTGGAAAATTGAAAATGTAACCTTTGTACATAGGGTCAGGTGATCTACAGAGATCTTGTGTCAATACCTTTGTGGTGATTTTTACAGTCTGGAGAAGACAGTGATTGAAAACAATGCCGATGCAAAATGCAATGGTTGCAGTTTGTTTTTGATTTTGGGTGTTGGGTATCCATGTAATTCTATATAATCTGCTTAATTTGTTAAACAGCCACTTGAATGATTTCAATCTGTCCTGCACAGCTCACTTAGTTTGGTACCACGAGCAAATATTAGCAGAATTATCCACCTCTGTTATTTAAAGTCCCAATCTATTCAAAAATCTATATGGTCCATGACAGATTCGCAGAGTATAGGCAAAATGGTCAATGATTTTTTTGGCTTCATTGAAATTGCCCTTAATATTGCTGTTGATTTTTGGACTAGGATCCCGATGGATAAAAGTTGAGGTGCTGCAGCAAGTGCCACATTCAATTGAAAGTCAGCCAGGTGTCTGACACGTGCAGAAACCATCATCATGTTCAATCCATGACTATTTGTGGGACACTGGTGTATGCAATTGGCTGCTGTGTTTCACCCATAAAATACACTTTACAATATATTCTGTGAAGCACTTTGTGACGTTTCAACGATGTGATATTATTATTACTATTATTATTATTATTAAGAATATCTAAACCAGATCGAGAGTTCCACATGTATGTGCCTTCCACACAGGGAAAATTCTTTTGTCTGCCTGGCATAACAATCAAATTACCAAGATCACCATAGAGGATTAACCGAATCCCAACATTAGGGTGGAGCCAGCTCAGGTGCAGGTAGACCTGGCTGCCTCCCACTCCCAGGAGGACCTTAAGGAGTTCAACTTGTTACATGCCAGGTGCATCAGAAAGGAGGGGCCTTTCTGCACATCCATTTGGATGTCATCTGGAGTGCAAGCGTCTCTAGGTCATAGAGGTGGACGTTCACAATCTCATATTCAGATGGACGTTAAAGATCACATAGCACAACTTGAAGAGAGAAGGGAGTTTCTCCTGGTGTCCTGGACAATAAAGGGACGATTAAAAAATAAGGTCATTTGTTTAATGTCTGTTTCTGGGACATTGCTCTACGTGAATTCGGCTCCCCGCTCACCTACAAATACAGACTTACTCCATTTCACTAAATCATGTGATGTCCCCCAACATCAAAGGTGCTGAATCATTATTCAAGGATAATGCAAGGATCATTATTAACAGAGGACAGAAATCTGTCTGTTGGACTTCACTCGAGGCAGATAAAGCAGGTCCAGATAATATCAAGTGTTGAATGGAGTACTGTAATTGAAAGCAGCTGCCTATTTTGTGCCAGGTGTGTATCTGTACGCGTGAAATCACAGTTTGCAATCTTCATTGCAGAGCTCATCGTATGAATACAGCCCACGTGAATTGTGGACTGTGAATTTTTCCACTGGTCTTTGTGTTCCGCTAAAGAGCTGATGGCCAGGGCACACAATTTGAACTTGATACATGTGAAGCCATACACACAAGATGATTTGTTCACCATCCATGGACACACATCCACCTCAGTAAGCCATTCCGGAACCTTGGCGCCTTGGTTGACCCTCAACTATCCTTTCTACCCCACATCCATGCCATGACCTGCTCTGCCTTCCCCCACCTCCGCAACATCGTCCAGCTCCGCCACTGTCTCACACCATAGGCTGCTGACAGCATCAGCATCCAAGGCTGCACTTTCCACCTCTCAAAGTCAGTCAGGAACCTCGGGGTTCTGTTCGACCCTGAGTTGTCCTTTCTTCCCCAAATCCGCGCCACAACTGGCACCGCCTTCCATCACCTCCGGAACATCCCCAGACTACGGCACTACCTCACCCCTCACGCTGCTGAAACTCTGGTCCACGCCTTTATCACCTCAAGGCTGGCCTATGGGAACTCTCTCCTCGCCGGCCTTCCCGGCACCTCCCTCCACAAGCTGCAGGTCATTCAGAACTCTGCAGCTCGTGTACTGTCCCGCACCAGGCTTCGGGACCACATCACTCCCACCCTCGCTCGCCTCCACTGGCTCCCCATCCCCCAGAGGATCGAATTCAAGATCCTCATCTTCGCCTACAAGGCCATTTACGGCCTTGCTCCCTCCTATCTCTCCGACCTACTATCCCCCTATCTACCTGCCCATACCCTCCATTCCTCTGGCTCCGGTCTGCTCCACATCCCCCGCCCCAACCGCCCTACCATCAGTGGCCGGGCCTTCAGCCTCTCAGCCCCTAGGCTCTGGAACTCTATCCCCCAGTGCCTTCACCTTGCTTCCTCCCTTTCCTCCTTCAAGGCCGGTCTCAAGACCTTTCTCTTTGACTGAGCCTTCAGCTCCCCTCTCGACTCTCTACCCCCTCCTCGCTCCCTCCCTTCACTCCCCTCACCCTGACCATTTCCCCCCTGCTCGGGTCCTGACCCAACTGTCCAGCGTTTTGGGACGTCCTCCCGACGTGAAAGGCGCTCTATAAATGGAATCTTGTTGTTGTTGTTGTTGTTGCCAAAACCCTCATACACACATTCATAACAATGAGGCTTGACTCTGTAAACTCCCTGCCTGTCGGCCTCCCCAACTCCTCCCTCCATAGGCCGCAAATCATCCAGAACTCTGCAGCCTGTGTCCTCTCCCGCACCAGGCTCCGTGACCCTATCAACACCATCCTCGACCAACTCCATTGTCTTCCCATCACACAGAGGATACACTTCCTAGTCCTCACCTTTAAAGCCATCCACAGTCTTGCTCCCCTTACCTTTGCGACCTCCTGAATCCCTACCATCCAGCCTGCTTCAGGCTCCCCCGCCTCGCTTGCCCCACTATTAGCGGGTGGGCCTTCCTCCACTTTGCGCCCACCTTCTGGAATTCCATCCTGCAGTCCCTCCACCTTGCCCCCTCCCTTGCCATCTTCAAGACCCATTCTAAGATCCTCCTCTTCAACTGTGATTTCGATCTCCCTGCTTCCCTCCATACCCTTCACAATCCTGATCCCCAGCTCGGATCTGAAACACTGAAAGGGGCTACACAAATGTATTCTTTTGTTGCGGTATTACACCGTACAATTTATGGCTATGTACCACTTTGAGTAGGAGAGCTGGGGGTGAGAGCCAAGGGTGGGGTGGTGTGGGGTAGGGGTGCAACGATGGGAAGGAGAAAGATGATCGAAAGCACGGTCAAAGTGGTACACCTTGAGAAGTGCCTTGAACAAGTTCATGAAACAAATTAATAAGATATGGATCAGAGTTGTTTCAAACTGAAAGGAAGATGTGTGCAGTGCAACATACCTTGGTAGAGAGCTTTGAATCCCAGAGAGCCTATGGTTTCATCAGACTGTAAGTGCAGCCACATCTGATTGCTCATGCTAACAACCAAGTCAGGGACACTTGAACCTGTAAGACTAACACAGGGAAAACATTGGTTATTAACACATAAAAGCAAGCAACTCAGTTATTCCATGCACTACAATATTATTTACTTGTCTAACTTTTGAACAAAAATATGATTTGTAAGCTTACAGAAAGTATAGACGCCTTCAAGAAGAAGCGAGACCTTCACATGAGGGAAGGAGAATAGAAGGATACGGGTGGTAGTATGGAATTGGTGAACATTTATGTGGAGTATAAACACAAGTATGAACTAGTTGGTCCAAATGACTTGTTTCCGTGCTGTACAGCTCATGTGTCAGAAACCCGGTTGACTAAAATATTTATTTTTTCTCTGCCAGTCGTCCTGTAGAAACCCATCACCGCCCTTAATGCTTATCTCATGTAACCTCTCCCAATCCATCCCAAAAATCGGTGGGAAAGTTTTTAGTCCCATTATACTCCTACTCTCTGAAATATATTCCGTTTGTCCACCCCATCTTCCTATCTTTAAAGCTTTAATGTCTTAGTTTTTCGACCACACTTTTGGTCACCTTCCCCCCAACCCCACCTCTGGGTCAAGTTTCCAGTCAGATGTAAAATGCTCTGAGACTCCATCTTCCATTGCAACATGAAAATCAGCTGTATTAAGTTGTAAAATGTGAACATAAAGATAAGTTGTTGTTATTGAAAGTATCCCAATCAGATTGAGAGTTCTACATATTTATGCCACTAACTCACCAACTAACTCATGGAGTGTTCCCTTTATCTCTGAAATCACCCTTCCTCATTGTATAGACTGCAGAAGAAAATTCTCCTTAAAGTCCACTGCAATCTTACTCATTTAAAAGCAGGAATGTACGTCTGAGTTAATGCCTCGTGAGCTGTTAGGACACTGAGAATTAACAGTTGTTGCATTAAGTTAATCAGGTACAAGGAGCTACACAATGAAATATTGGATTAAACTGGCCATTATATCCTGTTTATGGAGCATCTGCGCGGATATGAAAGAACACAGAATTTCTTTTTCATTCTGTTTTAATGTAGATGATTATAAAGGAGCACACGGTTAGCGCTCATTATTACATCCTATCTTTAAAATCCCCCAATTGTGGATTAAGTGTTAAAACTCACTGTATCTCAGCCTCAAATATCGCTTTAACCACTGAGTCGGGCTGTCTGGTATGGATATTCAGCTCTATGATTTAATGTGAAAACTTTTCATCTCTTCAGACTGTGGTGTGAATAGAAAACCTGTGCTTACACTCTGTATAGTGCCCTTGACAGAGTCTCACTACCTGTCACATTGAGGTGTTTGAATGCAGGATAATGCTGGGGGATAAAGCTTACTGGGTGTTGTCACACGTGTATGGAATCTTTTTCAATACATGCTCATGTTCGAGTGTAGGAGCCGGATAATTAAGAACCAGAATACCTTGTACAAATTACCGTAAATGTAATAAAACAGATGAACTAATGTGTCCTCTATTAAAAACGGAGTGCTTTGTTTGCAATTTGGAGGGCATTGCACAGTGGACGAGCTGGGTTGGAACGCTCAGATGGAGAGGAGAGTCAGGAGATGTGGCTATGTTGGGATTAATGGATCAGACAGACATTACAGCATGAGAAAGATATGAAGCGCCAGTTTGTCTGCTCCGAGACATTGCTACAGTGAGCACAACAGCAAGTAAATTTGTATGATGCCCTTCATGTTGGATGCCCAGGATGGAGCAGAGGCAAAGCTTAGGGTGATCCAGAGGACTATAGCAGAACAAGAGGAATGAGGCGGAAGTAATAGAAAATGGAGTGTGGGAGTAGGAAAAGGCATAATGGCCAGAGAAAAAGGGAGAAGAGAGAAGCTGGAGTAGGGAGGGAGGGATGAAGAATGAAGAAAGAGCTAAGGGAATATATTTATTTCACAGCAACGATTTTCTGATCGGCTGATCATAATCAGATCCCAATCTATTTTAGCATCATAAGGACTCCGGGACTCTACCCTTCGTGAAGGGTGCTATATAAATGCAAGTTATTGTTCTGGATGAACTAGGGCTCTTCAGCTTTCAATGAGGAGTCTAAGAGGAACAACAGCAACTTGCATTCATATAGTACCTTTCACATGAGCCAGTGTCTCGGAGAGTTTAATATATAATGCTATAAACGGCAAAAACTCCCTCCTAAGGCATGAAAGAGACAACAAAACTCACCTTCTAGAATAGAAGCGAATATCACAAATAGAGAGCAATAAAACCTTATTTGGAGAGTTTCAGAATGGTAACAAAACATAACCGGTGACTGAGGGCAATATAAGGAGTGTTCAAGGGTGAAAGGCATCCCTTTAGTGAAGTTTTCCACCTTCAGCGCCTTGAGATGTCCTCCCGATGTGAAATGTAATTTTGCTGTTATGTCGTTGTTTGGTAACCACCTGTCCACACTCCTAAATATGATCCATGCTTGTAATGCTCTCTCTACCACTCGTATCTGTATGTCACAACGCAAGTGTCTCTTCAAGCCTGCTTTGAGACTCCTTAGTGGTTCCAAGCACATTTTGCCAAATGATACTGAGCTCAAAAGCTCATTTTCCAATGACTAAGTGCAATCCCACATTCAGCCTCCCTGGGATGCACTTTGTAAAATATATATTCAAACATTTTGTCCGTTGAATGCAGCAGAATGAAACGGTTCATGAATTTCATAACTATGCCAACTGCAGGCACTGTCACAAATTAGATTTTCCGCTAGGAGGATTAAGGCAGCTCTGTGTACATTTCACAAAATACATTACATTTAATAAGACATTGTTCAGAACAGCTAATCCATAGAAGGTCGTCTCACACAGGAGCTGAATGAAGTGTAGCTTCTGACTGCTAATGCACTTCACGAGTCAGGTTTCAGTGTTAGGCTGGCTGGCCAGCCAGAGAGATTAGTGTGATCTTCAATGTTACTATTCAGCTTGTGAAAAGCAATATGTAACCAGCACCATTTCTGATCTCTGCGTCGTATCTTCAAAAATATTTTCTCAGCCGTGTCATGCTGGGGGGAATGGAGGTAAGCAAGATCTTATTGGAGCTGAGCTGGTTCTGAGGTGACCTGCATCAGTACCCCAAAGCACACTCCAGGGTCTCCAAGCCTTGAATCTCCCAACCTACACATAATACTCTTCAGAATTAAATAAGTAGGAGTCTTGTCCATTCTAGACAAAGGAACACTTTCATGTATAGTTTGGTTTGGATACGCTTATGCATTGTGATAGGTTTCCACATGTGTCAAACACCTGGATAACCAAATAAGAAAATTAAGGCCATGTACTGTGAACAACGATGGATTAAGTTGTGAACTTGGCCACTCAAACCATCATTTTGCATCTTGGACCCGGGTGTGACATCGCCCACTCTAGAACTCTTTGCTCCAAAATGAAACAGTTGAACGTGAGAACTGATTGAGTTCAATGACAATAAAATTAACAAATTAGGGATTGCAAATGCAGTGTTTACAAATCATAAATTCCTGTGCTACTAGCCACAAGCTTCTGACTCTGAAGTGACAGTGCTGCCAACTGAGCCAGACTGACAGGGTAATGTACGTGTGTGTGTTCTGTACAGAGGAGAAACTTTCAAAATTCCAGTACTTCAAGTCACTTATGGTGATGAGCTTTGGGAGAAATTAATGATGATGGCTGGGGTTTCGGATCAGGATGTGTGTGGGACAAGGAGTGTAGCCAACAAAGTGGAAGGTCTTGAGATGGGCCTTGAAGGAGGCAAGCATAATAAGATACTGCAAGTTCTTTTTTCTCTTCAGTGGAACATACAGATCTAAACTGGTGCATAATTCTGAGACATGGCAAAAGTGGAGTGCTGTGCCTCAGTGGTTAGAGCATTCGCCTCGCAAATGAGATGACCTGGATTCGATTCCCGGCTGGGCGAAAAGTTGGGCAAGTTTCTTTACTCCACACGTCTCTGTTTACCGAGCAGTAAGTAGGAACCCAGTTGTCAGTCGATTGGCTGAGGAACTGAGGAACTGAGGAACAACCAGTTCCTACTTACTGTTAAATAAACAGAGGCAAGTGGAGTAAGCAGATTTGCCTAATGTTTTGCCCTGCCGAGGAGTCAAACCCAGGTCTCTCACTTGCCAGGTGAGCGCTCTATCTACTGAGCTACAGGACTCCAATTCTCTCCCCGATAAAATTAGTCATTCACTTCATGGCTGTTTGTGAGACATTGCTATAGGGAGTTCAGTTACAAGATAAACAGTCACTTTACATTACAGTAAAATCCTGGGAAGAATTTTAGATGTCCTCCTGACATTAGACACTGTATAAAATTGCAAGTTTTTTTTAATGTCTTCCTTATGCCAGGCACATATTGCTAGATATGAATCATTATCTCTTCCAGAAGTACCCCAAATGGGAATAAATATTTGCATTTACACTATCTACTCCCAACTGCTTTTGTGGTGGGCTGGCAAAAGCTTTGCATAGAGCTCTGCTAACCTATACATCTTTTAGTGTCATTAAAAGGAAAGCGAGAGGTCAGATTTTATTTCACACAGAGGGTTGTTAGGAAGTGGAATGCCCTGTCTGGAACCATGGTCGAGGCAGAATCCACATTAGATTTCAAGGGGGAATTAGATAAATCTGTGAAAACAGGAAATACAAAACACTATGGGGAAAAGATAGGAGAATGGGATCAGGGAAAACTCTTTCAGTAAGGCAGCACAGACACACTGAACTGAATAGCCTGCTCTAAACTGTAAGTGTCTCTGGTTCTGAAACAGCAAGTCACTTGCAATTTTAAGGGGCTTTTTTGAGCAGGAAAAAAAGGAACTTCCTTAGTGCCTGGCATAAGGAAGATTCTAAATTTTCAGCATGTTAAAAGAATGATTTCATTCATATACTTTTGAGACTTTAAAGAGGAAACTTGATGTGTACATCAGGGAATAGAGAGTGATAAACACTGACATACTAATAAATTCTAGGTGGGCTGAATCTCTCCCTTTCTTCCTAATGACATTTCTTACAGAGGGATCAACACAGAAGGGATTCTCCTTCCAGTAACTGGAAGTATGAAAGACAATTTATAGGAATGTCATTCCGGCACAATGTACTCCCACAATGGAATCCATCCTGGCGGCCGATGGGAATTTGAGCTGGATTCCTAAATGAGAAATCCTGTTAAGAAATACTGCCAATTATAGTTAAATCCATGACTGTCTGTGGGATTCTACTATGCTTAATAATTGGAATATTTGCACAAAATATACAGAACTTTACAAAAAGGCGCTATATCAAATGTAAGGTTTTTTNAATATTATGTTTGATAGGAACACGCAAACAAATATTTTCCACTCGAATCCTGCATCTTGAAGACTGGATGGTAAAATTTGGACTAAACAGATTCCAAACATCAATCTTCCCTGTGGTTCAGTAACTTTCAAATCAGTCACCACAACCTCCAACCTTTTCTTCAACACTTCATCCGCACCAAAGACATATAGGATTAAGTAACAGGAATTTTAGGAAGCAATACTCACGCATACAAAACGGTCCTGGTATCTCCTACTTTTCCTCCGTCGCCCACAGTCAAAGTATCGTAACCTCTTTCCAAGTCAAACTCTTCGAAACGGAGCTTGATGATCTGTTGATTGGAACAAAAAGGCAAAAAGAGTGTGAGCTCCCCTTGAAAATGTCTGTTCTTACTTCTTGTACAATAAAAGGTTCACAGCTCCAGGGCTGTGAAGAGAAATGTCAGGTCAGACAATAAAAAGCATTTGATTTTACCCACAGAATAATCAACAGCTGCAACGGTTTAAGAGGAAGAGTGGTGGAGACCAGGGTGATGGTCTCAGTTTTAGAAAAAATAGTTTTTTTTAATGTCTTTCTTATACCAGGCTCAAAATACTCTCCTGATTGGCTCCCATCAGCACCTCCTCACCTCAAGCACTGACAGCATCACCATCCATGGTTACCCACTCCACCTTGCTAAGCCAGTCCGGAAACTTGGGGTCTTGTTTGACACTCAACTATCTTTTCTACCCCATATCTGCGCCATGACCCGCTCTGCCTTCCTCCACCTCCGCAACACCACCCGGCTCCGCCTCCGCCACTGTCTCACACCACAGGCCGCCGAAACCCTCATACACGCCTTCATTACATCGAGGTTCGACTATGCAAACTCCTTGTTTGTTGGCCTCCCCAAGTCCTGCCTCCACAGGCTGCAGATCATCGAGAACTCTGCAGCCTGTGTCCTCTCCCGCACTAGACTCTGTGACCCTATCACCCCTATCCTCGCTCAACTCTACTGGGTTCCAATCACACAGAGGATACACTTCAAGATCCTGGTCCTCACCTTTAAAGCCCTCCATGGTCTTGCTCCCCCCTGGCTCTGCTTCCTACTAATCCGCTACCATCCTGCTCGCTCCCCCCACTCAGCGGGCTCCAGCCTGCTTCACTTCCCCCGCCTCACTCGCCCCACTATTGGCGGGCGGGCCTTCTGACACTCTGCCCCCACCCTCTGGAACTTCATCTCGCAGTCCCTCTGCCTCGTCCACTCCCTTGCCACCTTCAAGACCCATCTCAAGACCCTCCTCTTCGAACTTGCTTTCGATCTTCCTGCTTCCCACCTCTTGCCCTCCACCTCCCTGACCCCGACCCCCAACTCAGATCCGTAACTCTGTCTGTCCAGCGCCTTGGGATGTCCTCCCAACATGAAAGTGCTTTACAAGTGTAATATTGTTGTTGTTGTAATGTTAATACAATTGATTCTATAATTATATAATAATAATAATAATGAGAATCTTTACATTGAAGTTAAAGCTTTGTAAGGCATAAAATCTAGGAGCACAGACCAGAACAACTGTGCCTATTTTCACTGTAACAGAGAAGGTTGAAGGGAGACCTGATAAAAGGTCTTTAACATTATTAGGTGTTTTGATAGAGTCAATAGGGTGAAATTATTTCCACTTGTCAGTGAGTCAGTAACTTGAGGGCACCAATTTAAGCAAAGATCCAATTAATCAAGAATTACCAAAAGAGCAAAGGATGAGATGAGGAGCAATTCTTTTACACAGAGAGTTGTTAGGATGCGGAATGCCCTGCCAGGTGCAGTGATCGAGGTTGAATCCATATTAGTTTTCAAGACTAAAAAGGAGTCTTTTGCAGCAATGAACAAATAGATTGCTGTTTCAAAGAGCCAGCACAGACCCAATGAGCTGAATGGCCTTCTTCTGTGCTTACATTTCTATGATTATAAAACAAATTAAAGCTTCCTTCACTGGTGGGGAATTACTCATTTGTCATATAACAAAGCTGCAATATTCTTTCAGAGAATATCCCTGGTTATTGGGACATTCCTATCAATAATTAATGTACAGTATAATATCTTCTCATATCTCATATTTCACCACGAATATTAACAATTCAGCAAACTTGTAAATAAAAGACGAAAGACAGCATATCTTTTTTTGTTAACACTGATGATTTGTTCCAATTTTAATAAACAAAGATTAAGAAACAAGTCACTGGGAACACTTAGCAGGTCAGGCAGCATCTATGGAGAGAGGTTTGACAAAGGTCATCGACCTGAAACATTAACTGACTTTCCTCTCTCGATAGATGCTGCCTGAACTGCTAAGTGTTCCCAGCAACTTCTATTTTTATTTCAGACTTCCAGCATCTGCAGTGTTTTGCCTTTTGTTTAAGAATAAGAAACATTCAAAATAGTGTTATGATTAAATGTGGTGTTATTTTAGCCTTCAATCTCAACAACTCTACCTGTGAAAAGGGAAACATTCCTAAACGCTGAGTAAATATACTTCAGATATGTTTGCTCCAGCAGTACTTCAATGCATTATCCGAGGTTCCCAATCCTTGGCTCTTGTTAACCTGCACCTAATACTGTCTATGATTAGGTGAGCACGTTGTGTCTCTCTGGGGAGCGCTCCACCTTGCTACCTTGTATGAAGGGCACTGTATAAATCCTCTCCGCATCACTCTCTCCTCCCTCTCCTCCCACCAGCAAACCCACTCACATTTCCCTTCAAAATGTCCATTCCCTCTCTAACAAAGCCCTCACCATCCATGACTTCATCCTGGACAAGCATCTCGACATTCTTGGGCTCATAGAAACTTGGCTCTCCCCCAATGACCATGTCCCCCTAGTTGAAGCCTCCCCTCCAGGCTACTCCTTCCACCACAATCACCATCCAAATCAATGTGGCGGCGGGGTGGCCCTCATCTCCAAAGCCTCCCTTGGTCTTTCCCCCTACTCCTCTGGCTGCTTCCCCTCCTTTGAGCACCTCACCCTCTTCTATCCCTCTCTCCCACTGAAAATCCTCCTGGTCTACCGCCATCTCGGACCACTTCCTCATCTCCTTCTTCTCTCACATCCCTCTCTCCTCCACCAAGCCGTCAACCATATCTACCACCTGTGGAAAAGGCTACCCCCTGAGACCCTCACAAAGGACCTCACATCCTCAAATATCCTATTCCTCTGGCCTTCCACCCGCAAAGATCCTGAAGCAGCTGTCCAGCTGCTCCATGATCGCCTCTCCTCCACTTTCAACTCCCTCCCCCTGAAATCCAGGACCATCCCAAAACCTCCCGATCCCCCTGGTATAACAATCATCTCCGCTCCCTAAAAACCCAAACCTGGCTGCTCGAGCGCAGATGGCAGAAAACTGGCCTGACAGTTCACCGCCAACTGTGGCTCGAGCATCTTCACAGCTACCACCGTTCTTGACGTGCTCGAAAACGGCCTTCTACTCCAACATAACATAACATGTAGGAGCAGGAGTTGGCCATTCGGCCCTTCGAGCCTACCTCGAATATCATCTTGGAGGCTAAAAACAATCCTTTTGTCCACCACCCACTACCTCCTCCCTGCGCATCCTCAGGCCTCCTCAATCTTCACATCCAATGCTAAGTGCGAGGAGGTCTTGGACTTCTTTTCATCCAAAATACATAACATCCGCCACGCAGCCTCATCCTCCTGCCTCTTGTCACCCACCATCACCCCCTCTCCGTCCCCCTCAACCTCCCCATCATCAGCTCCTCCCACGACCCACATCCTACATTCCTTCCTCCCCATCTCTCCTTCCTCCCTCTCACTCACCATCACCTTAATGAAACCCACCACCTGCTGCCTCGACCCCCTCTCAACCAACTTGCTGGTCACCCAGCTCCCCCTCCTCTGTCCACTACTGACTGATATCATCAACCAGTCCTTCTCCTCTGGATCAGTCCCTGCCCCCCTCAAAACTGCTGTCATCACCCCCCTCCTCAAAAAACCTTCCTTAGATCCCCCAAACTCCAGGCACTACTGCCCTATTTCAAACCTGTCTTTCCTTGCAAAAGTCCTAGAATGCGTTGTTGCCAATCAACTCCGCGCACACCTCTCCTCCCACTCCCTCAGAGCTCTGAGACGCCGTCCAGCGTGGAGGGTGCTATATGAATCCAAGTTATTGTTGTTGTTGTATGAATACAACTTGTTGTAACTACTCATAATAATCCTTGCATTTGATATTGCGCTTAATAACATCATGTTTCAAAGCATTTCACAGAATATAATGTAAATGGATTAATTATGTATTTTGTGGACAAATTGTGCCAGTCAGTTGCACACAGCAATGCCCCACAAACAGCCATGGAGTGAGTCAATGTTATTGGAGGGATTGTTGGCCAGGACACCAGGAGAAAGGAAACGACATAGAGGAGAGAGTGCAAGTTGAGGGAAATGTGTTCGCACCCATGGAACTCTTAGTCTAGTTTGGATACTCTTAAGCACGATGACAGGATTCACGTGTGCCAGACATTCAGCGGACTAAAGATAAAAGTGGTTGCTTTACTTCAGTTTTAAATCCTTTCTCAATAGCATTTTATGTATTTAGTAAATTGTTAGATTGGCTTCGGGGCATGTTCAAAACACCATCCACAACGTGTAAGCAATTTATAATAATGTATTGAACGTTTGAAATGAGGACAATTTGCATTGATTTAATAGCAGCAATTGTTTGGAATGGTTCATAGCCAAATGTTCATTGTTCAAAAAATAATGATATCTGTGACAGATTACAAGCAATCAGTTAACTTTTAACTGTGTGTGAGAAAAGCTTGAACAATTAAATAAGGCTCCAAACTGTGGTTCAAAAGACAGGATCCTAATGGAGCCCCATTGATCAGATTGCAGTTTATATGGAAACATTAATGACCATATTTATTGAGCGACAATCAATTGTTGATTTCTGGCAAATTATACCAAACAAATTCTAAATGAAAACACTTGTTACATGACAGTTATGAATGGCTTATAGTTCTGTTATTACATCTTGACAGTATTTATTCATTAGTTAAAGAGTTATTCAGCATGTTATTTACTGCAGCGTTACTAACATGTTATTAAGCTGTCCGCTTTGCATTGCTGAGACACTACAATATGACGTGTTGGTTCACAGCTTAGGCTCAAGAGAAATCTCAACATCTGTTCGAATGGCACAAATATAAGATAGTGACTAGGGAATCTAAAATAATAAAATAATCCTTACATTTGATATAGTGCCGTATCACGGAATATACTGTAAAGTGAATTGACTATATTATGTGGGAGAAATAGATTTTAAAAGGAACAACGTCATGCAGAAG